TATATATATATATATATATATATATATATATATATACACACTTTTATCACTTAATATTTTGTTGCTAAGATGAAGTCATATTATTTCATTAGTTGGAGGAAAAATATATAATATGTATTGAATGAATACACTACAATCTACTTATCACCTGTTTCTGTGCACTTTGGTATACTCTGATATTTTTTAATATGAATACCATCATAGCAAAAATCTTTTACAAATGTTCTGTTTTGGGTGTAAGAATTCCTCTTGACTACACATATCTGCACACAAACAGACACAAGGACAGACAGACAGACAGACAGACACACACACACACCTATGTATATATACATACATACATTCACAGAGGCATGTAATTTACTTGTGTCAAGTATTTGAACTCTGATGGAGGAGTATGTAATATGGTCAAAAAAAGTAAAAGCTTTCTTTCTATTCATTATTTCAGGAATTGTATACATTTTGAGACATGTTAGTTGTATGTAAAATAATAAGCAATTGATTAAAATTATATATATCTTACTTTTGGGTGATTTTCCCCATATTTCTCTCACATGCTTTCAACCATGGCCAGAGCTATGATACACAATCATTAAGGCCAGTTTGTTCCTTTCATTTAATATCCCACTACACAGAATGTCAGCAAGTGAGAATATGCATTTACAAAGCTTCCAGTTATCTACTCTTGCTTACTCTAGAACAGTTCTCATGCCATGCGATTTTCAAAATGTCTAAGAACCCTTATCCCAGTTCATGGTCATGAGATTGCAAAAACATATAGAACTGATCCAGGAGATTATGTATTATAGAAATTCACTGAATTCGAATTCGATTTTCTGTTTTTTCATATTTCTTTTTCTTTTTCTTTTTTTTCAGCATCCATATGATATTATTGATAGAGGGGAGAGAAGGGGGGGTATCTGGTGGCCAACCGAAAGCAGAAGAGGGAAAAGAGAGAAAGAGAGAAGGGGGGAAGAGAGCAAGAGAGAGAGAGAGAGAGAAAGAGCAAAAGAAAGAGGTGTGCTTACAACTGAGTCCCCTGGCAGCCAGGTAAAGCTTGAGTAGCCAGGTAATTCATGACATAGAGAGAAGACATAGCCATGAGCATCCCGCCCAGCATCAGGGGGCAGGGTCAGCACACTGCTGGTTCCCAACATTCCCACCTCTTATTGTTATTAAAAAGATGGGGTTTGGGAGTGGAAGGTTAGGGAATAATGACTTTGAGTTCTCAAGACTGCTTCCTACTGATTTGGGGCAGTAATGGTCATCTTTGGGGGAATGAGAAAGTTGGGGTGCTGCCACATCCTGATAGCTGGTTGTTTCATCGCAGTCCTGACAGTATGGAACTCTAGTGTCTTTTTGAGACCTGGCAAGATGTTAGCAGAACAGAGGACAAGGTTAAGTTTAGAAAACAAAGTTTTTTTTCTAGGTCCTGGTACTTGAGGGGAGAATTTTAAGATGAGGGAGGGGTTCTTGGGGTGAGGGAAGGGAGTCTTGGGGCCAGGGAAAGGTTGAATATTTATTTGGAGTGAATATGACCTGTTTGGATGGGTCCAATTCAGCTTCCTTGAACTTACAAGAATCCTTTGAGTTTGTGAAAACATAAATATTAAGACACATTAGCAGCATACTCATGTTAGAAATAATTTAGCTTAAAGAATTAACACATACAACTGGCAGATTTTTAGCACAATGAAAAGTACCTTAATTGTGAGCTTATAGCTACAGTTATGATCGTATAGTGGCATAGTATGGTTTTTAGTCCTGTCAGAATTGATTAGTAGCTCATTAAAACTTTATGATTAATGTTAAGACTATAAAGAGTAGCAACCTTAAAATACTTGTTTGTGAAATCTGTTTTGTTATAGTTGGAGCCTTGGCTGCTGCTTTAAGCTGACAAAGCTACCAGGCGTTAAAAGCATCAGAGTTCATGAGAAGGATAAAATTCTACCTGAATGATTAGAGAGTAACAGAGACTCACTAGCTGGCAACATGGACAGCCACCCCCAGGTCCTCCAGTTGTTGAGGTTAGAGGCTTTAAGGACATCTGCCTTCTGCTGATGGCACAAGACCTGTGGATTAGGAGCTTTTGGAAGACTTACCTACTGTTGCCCAAGCAACGTGGAGAAAGTTGATTCCACTGCCTTTTTGTCCATGGTCCTTAGAGCCCTTTGCAGCAGTTGAGATGAAAGGCAGGATTGCTCAGTGGCTAGCATTGCCACTTTTGTGGGTGGAGCTTCTTCAGTGTCTATCAGTCTTCTTGGAGGAAATGGGTGGTGCCAGCAGCTGGCCTGTCTCTCTGTTATAAAAGCTTTTTAATGAAACATTTAAAATGTCATATTCTCTAGATCTTTGAGCATTTGAGGGCTGTCTGACTGTTTAATATACCTTGGTATACAAAATTTGTCTTTAGTTACTTGCCTTAAGCACATAGGTGGCTAGGTAATTAATTATTCTGTCTGGAAAACTGGATCCAAGCTGAGAGGCTATGGAGGGATGTTATACTCAGAGCCCTGAAGCCTGACTGTAACTGGTTTTAACTTAGTAGGTTAGACTTATACCTGTAAAGGACAAAGAGGTAGAGAAAAACTCCCTTTGATAATAGAGGCTTAACCTTTATAAACAGCTTAAAGGAAGGACTGGGTAACATAAATATTTTGTTAGTTTGAAATAGACATTTATAACCTTAAATGTTTACCATCATTTAAAGACACATACAATTTAGAAATATTTGAGACAGTACAGTTGACTTTAAGTTGTATAGAGTTAGCTTACATTTACATATAAAGTTAAATTTTTTTTTTTTTTTTTTTTTTTTTGCATATAGAGTATTTTTTATTTAATTTTATATAACAAAGTCCAATTAAATGAAAACAAACATTTATACACAATATTTGGGAATTTGGGCGTCGTTCTTTCCAAACTACTTCCTGCTGGTAAGGGCGCTGTCTTGGGGGGATTCGAAGAAGATTCAGATATCCTAGCTGTAGTCTGTAGGGCTGTTTTGTCCAGCTGTTTGGAATGTAGGATCAGCTTGTACTCTGTTTCAGGCGGTCTGGTGTGATCAAACCACATTAGTCTGGAAGGAATCCACATCTTTTCATTTTCTGTGGAAACAAAAATAGAAATACTTTTCCCCAGTAACTTGTTCTTCAACTTAAATTTTGGAGTCAAAGCGTTTTTTTTTTTTTTATTATTATTATTTTACATGTCGATCCCAGTTCCCTCTCCCTCCCTCCCTCCCTCCCCCCAAGCCCTCCCTCCCTCCTTCCCTCCCTTTTGCCCTCTCTACCCTCTCCCATGCACTCTAAACACCCTCCCCTCCCAACCCCCCACCACAATACAATATGTAGGGGAATGCCATCCAGTTGGGGTCATGTAGATCTGACAGGTCCTGTGAAGTAGGGACTAGGGCTTCTCTCCTATCTCTAGAATAAGGCAGTTATCCCTCCATGGGGGATATGTTTGCAAAGTCCTTTTGTGCACCAGGGATACATCCTGGCTCCACTGTCTGAGGTCTCTTAGACTGCTCAGACCTTCTGGCTGAGACCCATATTCAGGGGAGTCCGAGTCAGACCTCTGTTGGCTTCCCAGCTATCAGTCTAGTGGCCCTTAGCTCCTCCTTGTTCAGGTAAGCTGTCTCTATGTACTTCTACCGCATGGTCTTGTCCTCTCCATCTGCTTCTGGGTTCTAGTTTGACTCAGTGTTTATGTATGGGTGTTTGCTCCTGTTTTCAACAGGCATTAGTTGAGGACTCCATGGAGAAGTTAGTTGTTGATCTCACTCTCCGGGAAGGGCATTTATGATAGCCTTTCCACGGAAGCTGAGATTGTTAGTTGGGAGCAGTCTTGTAGTTCCCTCGACCTTTCTTTGTGTTCAACATAAAGTTAAATTTAAATCACATGTACAGATATATTAAACAGGACTGAACCTATGTGTACATTAAAACAATACAGCCACTGGAACCTGGAGTGGCTGATTGAATCATCTCTCACCTACAGAGTATTATTTTCCAAAATAGAATGTGTTTTGTAATAGGATAATCTATTTTTAAAAAAGATTTTTTTTGAGCTTCATGTTCCTTTTATACTATTCTGCTATAAATACAGGCAGACAATTATGGGAGCAATGATATTTACATAGTTCAAGGTTAAAATCACACACAGTTGTTCTTAGCCTTAATAAGATCATGAATTCATTTGCATATAACCTATTAGTCTGAAGAATTTTTGAGGCCATTTAGTGGTGAGGAAGCTTAATAAACTAATAGGACCTGAAGCTATTTGTCACCTCAGTGTAAATGCCACCCCACCCACATCAACCATCATAGGTATTTTAAAGATAAACAAATGGGAGAAAAATTAAACTTTTTGGGCAAGTGCTGACCAGAGAAGCGGTTTCCCATGGAAAATCACAAAGGAATTTTGGCGTCTTAGACTGGCAATTAGCACAACTGGATTTCCTCTGACATAGTAAAGAAGACGAACCCCTTCTTTAACAGTGAGCCTCAGAAAGAGGCATGAGCATTTTCTCACAAGATCCCTTCCTTGCTCAGGAAACCTCCCCAAGCTTGGAACAGTCTACAAATCATACTGACGCCAACTCCACAGTCCCCGACACAAACACAATGGGCGGGTGTGGGCTCATGGTCACAGTCAAGTTCCTCTGCTTGGGTCCTTCCTGCCCATGATCATCATTGCATTCTGAGATCCAAAGTACAGATAAGTCATGAGCAAGGAAAGAGACACACTTGATCTCAGTGGCAACTTTCTTTTCTCCTGCTTATCTAAGCGGGGCATTGGACCCGGTTGGCCCAGTGTTTTCCCAGGGCTGAGGCGCCAGCTGTGTTCCTGACCCCTGAATAAATCAGGGCCACACGGAGTCTGGCAGAGCTTGGACACATTTCCTGTCACGGCCTAGTGGAAGCAGTTGGCCAAAGGAGTCTGGTTTTTTGGCTGCTGGGGGATGAGAGTTCAGGAGAGGGGAGGGGAGGGGAGGGCACACATGGTGGTAGAAAGGGCTGTAGAGGGCGGTGACACCAGAGACAGCTGGGTTTCTTCGGACAAGTCAGAAACTTGGGAGCACTTGTGCACCCCGAGTTTCCAGGATGAGGCCAGCGCTTGCCTTGTGCCTCCTCTGTCCAGCGTTCTGGCCCAGGCCAGGGAGTGGCGAGCACCCCACCGCAGATCGCGCTGCCTGTTCGGCCTCGGGGGCTTGTTACAGCCTGCACCACGCTACCATCAAGCGGCGGGCAGCCGAGGAGGCCTGCAGCCTGCGCGGTGGAACTCTCAGCACCGTGCACTCAGGCTCTGAGCTACATGCGGTGCTCGCGCTCCTGCGTGCAGGTCCAGGGCCTGGCGGAGGCTCCAAGGACCTTCTGTTCTGGGTGGCTCTGGAGCGTGGACGTTCCCACTGTACCCTCGAGAGAGAGCCTTTGAGGGGTTTCTCCTGGCTCTCCCCGGAAGGAGGAGGCTCGGAGGACAACACACTGCCTTGGGTGGAGGAGCCACAACTTTCTTGCACTGTGCGAAAGTGCGCGGGGCTCCAGGTCACTGGGGAAGTGGAGCCTGCAGGCTGGAAGGAGATGCGCTGTCACCTGCGCGCTAATGGCTACCTGTGCAAGTATCAGTTTGAAGCCCTGTGCCCCGCTCCGCGCCCAGGATCTGCCTCTAACTTAAGTTTCCGAGCTCCCTTCCGGCTAAGCAGCTCCGCGCTGGACTTCAGCCCTCCTGGGACAGAGGTGAGTGTGATATGTCCTGGCGGGGACCTCTCTGTCTATGCCACCTGCATCCAGGAAGATACAAGTGCTCGCTGGGATGGGCTTTTCCCTGGGGCCCTGCTCTGCCCCTGCTCTGGGAGGTACCTTCGTGCTGGCAAGTGCGTGGAACTCCCTGACTGCCTAGACCACTTGGGAGGCTTCGCCTGCGAATGTGTCCCTGGCTTTGAGCTGGGGAAGGACAGACGCTCTTGTAAAGCCCAAGGGGAAGGACAGCCAACCCTTGCAGGGACCAAGCTACCCCCTAGGCACGTATCAGCCACTCCAGCCAGCCCAGCGACAAACAGAACATGGCTAGGCAGGGCCCATGAGAAGTTAGGAGAGATGCCCCAGGTCACTGGACAAGACAGTTTTGCAACTTCTATTCCGGAGATTCTTCAGTGGGGAATGCAGAGTACTTTACCTACTGCTCAAAGGTCGCCACAACCCAAGCCAAAAGTCACTGCAAGGCCATCAGGAAGCTTGATCCCCACATTGAACTATACATCTTCCCCTTCTGCTTCACCGAATTTCGACTCCTCCTCCACCGTGGTCTTCATACTTGTGAGCATAGCAGTAATAGTGTTGGTGATCTTGACCATGACAGTGCTGGGACTTTTCAAACTCTGCTTCCACAAGAGTCCTTCCTCCAGAAAAAGGAACAGTGCTTTGGACTCACGAGGTGTGGAGAGTAATGCTGAGGTCACTGCTTTGAGCCCCAATTCTGCACATTGCACTGACAATGGGGTGAAGGTTGGGGACTGTGGTCTGCGGGGCCGAGCTGAGGGTGCCTCACTGGCTGGGTCCTCTCTTGGCTCAGGGGACACCTAGGGAAACAACCCAATGGGCATGTCTTGTGCAGACTTTCAAATCCAAAAAAACAGGGAAAAGAGAGATATCCCTGCCGTGATGGTTCCTATAGAAGTTCCCCTTCCCATCAGTTCTCTTTACTCCACCAGGGAGCTCAATCTGAAGAGCACATCTATTCCCTGAAAGTGGAAGAGGTGACTCTGGGACCAAGGCTGGACCTGGAAGACAGGGTGGATAATGGAAGGAGGCATTTTCCTGTTTTCTGGGAATTTGAAGAAGTTCTTGAATATTTCCAATATTGGAAGCAAGTAAATAATATAATTTTGGGGACATTTGTTTTCATCAAAATGGGAAGGAAATGTCTATTTTATTTTGGCTAGGAATGCATAGACTAGAAATTTTGAGGCAAGTAATAAAACGTTGTGGAGAACCTAGATTGAAATGTTTTTGACTTTTGCAAATGGGGTTTATTTAGGAATACAACATGCTGAAGATAGCAACCGGCTACAGGGTATTATGGGAAAAGGACGAGTACATTCTGTGCTTTGAGAGGAAAGTCCTTCTACCTTAGCTCTTTCAGAACAAATGAACTTTTCCTTTATTCTTTTATCCTTTGCTTTCAAAGTCACCACGGCAGTGTGCTCTACTATAAATCCCAAGTGCAATGTTGCCAGTTTCTGACTCTAGAAGCAAATTACAGTTGACCACCAATCCAAGTGTTTACTGTGTGTCCTTGCCCAAGGAAACAAATGATTTTTGTCTTCCTTTCCAATGTTTGTGCTCGCAGTGTAATGACCTTTCTTTCCAAACCACCTTGCAGACATCAGGATGCTGATTCCCACTTCCAATTACGATGATGTTAATTCTCAATTAAAACGTTAATGTGAAGTATTGATCTGAAACCTTCTGGGTGCACTAAAGTAAAAGAAGCTTGGCTTTTTCCAAAGTTGTTAGATTCTTGTGATCTATTTAATCCATAGAAGGAAAAAAAAAAACCCCTGAATGTCAAGCTATTTCTGTTTCTTCTCAATAGAGTGTGTATACAATGACAATGTGTATGCATCAGGGGATTGTTAAAATTGAACAAGGGACAAAACTTTGGGCAACAGTTTTCTATAGAATTAATGAAAAATTAAAACTATAAACTTGTTATGACTTCAGGTATTAACAAGTAATAAAAATCACACATTTAGGTGGTAAATAATTAAGGCATAATAAAAATAATTTTGGTGGAATCCAAAAGTCTTGGGAAACAGTTCTGTTAGATTAATGTGGTAAGACTCTTCTTAAGTGTTGTAAAGGTTGATGTGTGAAGAGATATAGAGAAGTAAGCTTACCCATGGGAGGAAATTAAAGTAGGATAAAACTTGGGATATATTTTTGTAGAATCACTTTTTATACTCTTAATTGTAATGTGCATATTATGGAAGGTTAATTTAATGTTAGTAAATAGCCATTTATAAAATAATCCAGAAAATTAAGAGTTCAATATATGAATCTATGTTATAAATGTGTTTAATATTGAAGGAATAAATTGATGGATTGCTTCATATGTTGGATATGATTTTAAATCATTACAGTTAAATAAAATCACACATGACTGTGAATTAACAACTGTTAAGGCTCGTCAATTCAAAGCCAAAGTTAGCAATTACATGGGTGAATGACTCATTTAAAATTCCCTCAGCATTCAGCTCTGTATTTCAGTTTTACTTTTTCTTATCATTATAGTTGTCCATTCCACTATATGATCTCTCAGTAGTGATGACAACTATTCTAGTAGAATATATCCTGTTTAGTTTTATAATTTGAAAAATATTTTCATCTATTAAGTTTACTGAACACACACAAACTCATACACACATATGTGCATGCATATACTTATATGCACTTATATAGCTAAGTGCATGTGTGTATCTGCATATACATAAATATTTTGCATTAAAGAAGAATGCCCTTATATTCTTCTTTCAGTGAAACAGAGCATGCATAATTAACTTATCATACAACATGCAACAGATGACAGTGTGGATAAAGGGCTCTGAATGCCCTATGTGAAGAAAAATGTCATGTCAACCCAATTGCTTAGCTATTTGGGTTTTTATTCTTCTTTATGAATCAGAGAAGAATTAAAGAACATTATGTTTACATCTTAAATTTATTAACAAACCAGACAACAGAGAACTTTCTTAGATTTCTGGCTATGGTAATGATACAATGGCAGGATAAGGCCAGCCTTATTCTCTTGGGTCTCTTTGTAGCTAGGGGTAATGTTCTTATTACTATTTCTCTACTATCTATTACTTTCTCAACATCTTTGAGGTTAGTTCCTTTGCCAATTAAAGCCTTAAGCCTTCTGGTCTCACATTCATGTTTGTTTCCTACTTACTTATTTCCTTACAATTGAGCATGGAATCTCTCCTGTAGTCTTTCTACTCTAAACTTTGCCTTATCTTACACAATAAGATTTTTTTTTTTTTTTTGCACAAGATACAATGCCCATGTGCTTTCATTCTTCTATTCTTTATACCCAGTGGCCTGCACTTCATTTTAGTTATCCACTCCATAGGTACCGGAATTAAGGTGATTCTGTAGCTCTTCCCCATCCCAGACCTCAAAGTCAGACCTTCATGTGCAAGTGTTAAGAATTCTGCTTTAATGATTTTTCTTGGGATTAGAGGTAAACTGATTTTGGTTGAGCTTTGACATTCTTCGTTTTTTAAATTAGTGAGCCTTGCAAAGACTAGTTTGCCTTCTTTTTAAAAATATTATGTATACTGAGATTGCAAGTTTACTAAAAACAGTTGTTTTGTATGAATGTTAAAGGGGTAACCAAGAACCAGCAGGTTCACAATTGACTTAACATTTGCTCCACAGGAGAAAACTCATATGACCAAGAATCATAGCTAGGGATCTTGTAGGTTCTAGGTCTGAACCAAGTACCATTATTTTGCAAAACAGATATAGTATCAAGCCTTCTTCCAAGTACTGATTATTAGAACCATTAGATCTATGTAGCACCTACCCCCTTATTAGGGAAGCATTTTGCAAAGGATGGTGGTTAACAAAGAGATACACAACCAGTAAAAAATACAGGGAATGAGTACCCAGCTGCAAGTGGGCATCTGTGAACTTTGTATCATGAAAAAGAGAACAGAAAAATAGAGCTAAATGTTATGAATGTGTGTTGTAAAACTCTCTTTGGGACATGACAGAGCCATTGTTCTCTTGTATTCACAACAGCTGTAGTTGTCTGCACAAGACCTGCACAAGATCAAGCCAGGCAGCATTCTACATTGGACAAAGGGGAAGTCTACAGGTTTTACCTGTTATTGAGTAGTTAATGGTAGTTGGTGGTTCTGAGAGAGGGAGAATCAATCTTTTTCATGGGGATGGCTCTTAGTATGTTGCTCATTTTCCCAATGGATATTCCTACATGCATCTAGATTGGACAGCCCTAATTGAGCTCAGTGGATATGAAGTTTGTAGGAAGATGTAGGGGTGTTTTGTATAAGAGAAGACGAGGGGAATGTGAGCAGTGAAGGTGATTTAAATATTGTATATATGCATGAAATTACCAAAGAAGGTTTTAAAATGTAAAAAGAATGAATAAAATGATGACTTCTTCTGTAAGACAGACATTTTATGAGACAAGGATCTATTTTCAATAAATGTATATATATCCAATAATCACAGAAATATAATTGTTTCACAGAACTGTTAATGTGTAAATGGCCAGATAATGTTATACTTTGTCCCTGAACATCTTTCTGCTTACTTCTTATCCATCTTGCTATCATTAAATTACTTGTAGTATTTGTACTTATTAATATACCTCTTTCTTGTAAGTATTCTTTCTTTGTTTTTGTTGGTTTGAACCATGGATTAAAAGTCAGTTAATTTAACTAATGTTAATTAGCTTTTTGTTCTTCATGTTTGTTGGTCATTCGTTACCAATTTTAATAAAGCACATTTAGCATATCATATAATTCTCATGGTGCAAGTAAAGTAAAAATGTAGTCTATTTACAAAATTGTGCAACCATCATTGTAAATAAACTTAAGAACATTTTCATCACCAAATTTTTTTCAAGCACAATGATTTCTATTGACACATTAGTTGTGGAAATTAATAAGGTTCACAGGTAAATATTCAAGCATGTTGCATATAGATCACATCTGTTGTTATCTGATTCATGATTTATTTATCCATTCATCTGTTTGTAGACCTGTAAGCTATATCTTGGCTATTGATAAGAATGCTGCAATAAGCCCAAGTTTGCAGGTATCTTTTTTTGTATATTGATTTCATTTCCTTTGGATGTATACCCAACAGCAGTGTAGTTTGAATGTATGACATTTCTACTTTCAGTTATGCAGTTTTTATAGTGACTGTACTAGTTTACATTTCCATCAAAAGCATGCATAAATTCCTCATTTTTCACATCTTCAATTCCATTTGTCATTTTGTTTTACTGTTATTGTTGTTATTATATTACTACACTAATAGCAATTCTAACTGGAGTTAGATGGCATCTCATTACACATTTGATTTCTGATTTTCTGATGCCTAATTGTATTAACTTGTTTTTCATAAATTAATAACCATTTCTATTTCTTCTCCATAAAATTGTCTATTCAGACCTTTTACATAGTTTGAATTGGATTTCCTGTTTGCTATTGCTGATATGTTCTGGATATTAGTTCCTTTTTATATAGCTGGAGAAATCTGTTGCTGAAGTACAGAAGTTTCATCATACAAAAAGGTTTTTTTCTGTTTTTTGTTTGGTTTTTTGTTTTGTTTTTTTTTTTTTGTATGTTGTTATAGTCTTTGTAAAAATTTAAATTTTCCTGTGTTCTTTGCAGGATTATACAGAAAATCATTCCACATACCAATTTTTAAAAAGTGTTTAGTTAGCTATGCTTTTCTATAGTAGGTGTAGAGTGTAAGTAAGATTTTTGATCAATCTTAAATTGATTTTTGTACAAGGTGATAGATAGGTGTCAACATTTAATCTTTTGCCTAGGGATATACAGTTTCCCCAGAACTATTTGTGAAAGAGGTCAATATTTTTACAATGTGCCTTTTTTGTCACATTTGCCTAAATTCAGATAGCTGAAAATTCATTGTCTGTGTCTTATATCTTCTATTCTGTATCATTCATCTATTTGCCTTGTTCTTGGGCCAATACAATACTTTACTTGTTACTATGGTTTATATCCAGCCTTGTTCTTTTGACTTAAGATTGCTTTGCCTATTCAGAATCTTTTGGACAAATTTTAAAATTGTTTTCCTACTTATGTAAGGAATATCATTGATAATTTGATGAATGTTGTATTTAATATATAAATCACTTTGAATAGCAAAAGTATTTTAACAATATTAATTCTTCTAGTCTGTGAACATGGGAGACCTTTCTATATACTAGTGTTTTAAGATTATTCATTGTTATGTAATTTTCATTGTAAAGTTCTTTGTTAACTTTATTTCTATGTTGTTTTACATGTGTGTATGTGTCTCCTTTGTGACTTGTTTCACAACAAACTCATTATTGCTGTAGTACCTTGAAGATCTTTGAACCTATGATTATCGATAGCACTGAACTGTAGTTTAATTTTGTTTATGTCATTGTTATGTGTGGAAAACAGAGTAATGCTATCCTCTTGTAAAGAGTCCTTATTCTTTTAATTCTTTGGGATAGTTTGAGAGATATATCTGATGGCTTTTCTTTAGAAATCAGTTCAAACCTAACAGTGATGCCGTCTAGTCATGAGCTTCTCTTCATTGGTAAACATTTTGTAGCTGACAAGTTATTAGCTATATTCTAGTTATATTCTATAGTTGTTTAATTCAATTAGATAATTTTTCAAAAGTCCACTCATTTCTTTTAGATTTTGTCAAATTAATTAGCATGTAGTTTTCCAAAGTAACAGTCTGAATTTATGTAGTATTGCTTGCAGCATATCCCTTTTCATTTTTAGTTTTATTAGTAGTCTTTCTCTTAATAAAAATTGACAATTTTATTTCATTTTCCAAACAGTAAACTGTTTATTTCATTGGTCATTGTACTGTATATTTTGACTCTACTTTTTCCATATGCTCTGATTATGATTAATTCTTTCCTTCTAGTGATTTTAAGTAAAGTAATCTTGGTTGGCAGTTATTTTTCTTCAGGGCTTGAAATACATCATTCTACACCAACCTAGCCTATACTAGCTTGCTTAGAAATCTACTGTTGGTCTTAGGTATTTCCCTTAAAAGTAACCTGGATCTATTCTCTTTCAGATTTTAAAATTCTTTTTCTTTCTTGTACTTTTGACAAATTGGCATAATGTTTCATGTCAAAAATCAATTGCCCATATCTATCTATATCAATATCAGTATCTATATGTCATCTATCTATTCATATATATATATGTGTCTGTGTATCCATTATATATATATATATATATATATATATATATATATATATAATCACCCACTTGAAGTCTTCAACAGCCATTTTACCTATTTTGATATCTTTGAACATATTACAGTAGAAATGTGATCTTT